GCAGTTAGTGTAATGGCTATGTCACTGAACTCCCACATAGTCAACTGTGGTTCGAGTCCCAGACCCGGTAGCTTAAACTCATGCTGGGCGCATGTGTGTGTGTGCCCAAGATCCTGAGAGGAGAATGGAGGAGAAGGGATTGCAGTGTGGCCATCCCCCCCTGGATGCCACACTCATGGCAGAGTTTTGCAATTGTTTAAATGGAGAGAAATTAACCATGTATTGTTAAATGAAGTTTTAATAAAGCTATCTCTCTGTATCTCTCTGTCTTTCTGGTGAGCGCATGTGCCCTATAGCAAAAAAAAATAAAATAAAATAAAATAAAAAAAACCACCAAAAACCAAAACAAAAAAAAACAAAACAAAAAACCTCTCAAAAAAAAAAAAAAAAAAAAAAGACTCCTTTTTCTTATAAATGAGCAATTCTGGGCTTGTGAGGTTAGGACCAGAATCCTTTGGGTGACCACTATTCAGCCTACTACATTTGATGACTACTTAGATATCTCTTAGATTTCTTAGATTTGATTTCTTCTACTTAGATTTCTCTTTTTTGGCCAGTTGCTCCAGGAGGAATTCCCTAATCTCCTGCTTGGCTGCCAGTGCTCTTAAGAAGCAGACCTTTTGAGAGGTCAAAGTAAGCAGACTTGTATTCCTGCTTGGAGCACCCCACTCGTGGTGAGGTCTGTGTCCCCAGGACCAGAGTGATGTTGAGTCTCTTGAGAGAGGGAAGCCCACTCTTGTGCTGATGGCAGAGTAGGGACAGTTACCAAGTTTCTAGGGGATGGGGAATGGGTCAGAGGATTCAGTTCCTTCCTAAACAGACCTTTAACTACTTTTTCTGTTTGCTACACCCCTCCTCTCGATTCCTGCTCCTTTCTTGCTCTCAGCAGAGTAAACCAGCCTGCATTTGGCCCCAGTGGTTGGTTTAGATATCAGCTTTCTCAAACCACTGGTCCACGAACTTCATAATTCCCCAAATGTAGCCATTGTTGTCTTCTGCATTTTTATGGGGTTGAACCCAATTAAAAGGACTCCCTTTACTGATGTGTGTGTGTGCACCTTGCGAGGGAGCCTGGGCTCCCAGTACGTAGTCCCCCACCCATCAATGCCAATGTCACTTCAGAACTCGCTAGAAATGATGTTCTTCGCCAGACCCCAGGCCTTCTGAACCAACTCTTGAGATAGAGTTCAAAAACCCAAGTTTTAACAAGACTTGTAGAGGAACCCGATATATATATATATATATATATATACACACACACACATACCCCCAACATTTGAGGGCCCTGGTGTCAGGAATATGCTGATTATTCCCTTCTCCTCTCCCCTAACACATTCTCTCCTTGCTGAGAGTGTGACGTCATTTGGCCCAGGAGCACCACCGTAGGCCGCAGTGATGCCTGGAGGTGCGTGGCAGAAGGACTCACCAGGTGTCTGTTTTGGAAGTAAATATTCCTTCCATGAAGGCCTCTGGGGGCATCCATTTCACTGGAAGCATGGCACATCCTCCCTTTCTGTAGTAACTCGCTCTGTGAGGAAGAAGAGGGAAACCAAATGTGGCTCTTGCAGGAATGGGAACGTAGCAACATAGTACCTACCGATGAAAGGGCTGAAATTAACGAGGGTCCTTGGTGGTTCAGGAGGTGAGCAGGGGAGCACAGATAATTTAGTTAAGAACTGTGGTGTCACTAATAGGAGGCAAAACAGCCCACTAGTGGTGTTAAGGAAAGATCTCTGCAGTGACTACGATGCTTGTTAGCAGATGTTTAGATTTCCCTGGGGTGTTTTGTTTATTATAACTTACGATGAGTAACGTTACTCCAGCCTCATAAGTACGGTGTGTTTCTGATGATCTACAGTAATTCAAGATCCAAAATGGAAAAACTGAGAGCAGGGCTTTTGTCTTACTTGTTTTGGGTCTTCCATGGCACTCAGGTTAATACGGACGCTCAACAAATACTCAAGACAGTTGGAGAGAAGCTGCCTTCCGTGACACACCCAGACAGAAACACGGGGCTAGGGGTAGAGTTGGCTTAAAGGTACTGAATTAATTTATTAGTTCTTATCAGTGAGTTGCATTAATGACATTACCGCAACTGCACGCTCCTTGTCTGGGTATACCATGGGAGGCAGCTTCCTGCCGGCTGCCTGCACTCATTAACGACTTCAACAAATATGTACTGAGTACTTACTGCCTTCCAGGTCCTCTGCCATGTGCTGAGGACATAAATCAGTCTTGCTCTCCAAAGGATACAGTGTAGTGGAAGAAACAGGTATATGCAATTGCTCTACAGAACAACACACATGCAGGATCTTCAAAAAGTTTGTGGCAAATATGTATTAAGAGAAAAGTATGGAAGGACTGCAAATTTTTTGCATCTAAATAAACTCATAATTTCATGACATTTTATGAATCCCCTCGTATAATAATGTCGGTTTATACCAAGCTCAGTGACACAAATGAGAGTTGATTCATTCTATTTGAGGCCTCATTCTATTGAGGTAAGGTAGGAGAGGCCTCATAGAAAGTTGCTGAAGGGGCCGAGTGGCCAAGCTCTGCTGCAAGGCCCTTTCTGACAGCCATTATTACACAGGGTCTAAGGGGCACTGTGAGACTGTAGGCAAGCTGGGGTGGTTGGGGCCAGGAGTTAGCTTCAGCTGAGGCAGGAAGGAAGCGTGGATAGCAGAGGGCTCCCTAAGTCATGTTGCAGCATTTTATCTTGAACAAGAGACAATTTGGGAACATCCCAAGAAAGGAGCTCTGAGATCCAGGGTATGGAAGGTAAAGTCTAGCATGTGGAGGAAATGTGACAGATGGCAGTGGCTGATGGCCCTGGAGAGGTCTCCAATAACAACTGGCCATGTGTGAACCTTTCAGCATCAACACTCTGGAGATTGTTACCGGTTCTGAGCGAGGCCTTGAGGGGTGTCAGCATGAATCTCACTTATTCTCCAGAGAGTTAAAGCTCTATACCTCCATCTCTTCTCATTACACCCCTGTGGGTCAGGGAAGGTACAATCAGTGACCACACAAAGGGGTGACCTGCTCCACTCAGGCAGCCAGTCACTATTGTAAATAACTTAAATAACAAGAAATGAAATGTTGAGAAGAATGAAAGTGCAATAGAAGCATTACGTTTTTTATTTTAAGAAAAGTTAAATGTATTATTTTTTTATGTTGCTTGAGAATATGACGGGGAAAAAGAAGTAAAGCTGAACGAAGGACAGAGAGAACAGACTGTGAGCCAGGCCTAGTTTCCTGTGGTTCTGGGGTGCTGTTGCCTGGGGTGATGGACACTCTGGCCATTTACCTAGAACTCGTGAGTATTGAGGATGAGGGTAGAGTAAGATAAGCAAAGTTTACTGGGAAACTTTTCCAGATCAAGTATCCAAGTTACTCTGTATGTCAGAATGTGGTAGGCTTAGAGGGCTAGAACTAGGAAGACAACCCAGTTAATAATGTGGTGTCCATCACTGTGTAATCTAGACTTAGATCTTCAGGCTGCTTTCTCATACCCTGGAAAGAACTCACTGAAATTTCAGGTGAAAGTTGAGCAGGTACCAGGAGACAAAGATACAGGCGACCATGTCTCTCTCATCCGGGTGAGGCCGAGGAGACCAGCGCCCGTGGGTGATGGCAGTCCTCACTCACCTGTAGATGTCTCGGGCCATCCCGAAGTCCCCAATCTTAGCCACTCTTCCAGGACCTGGACAGGTCAAGAGGCAGTTCCTGGCAGCAATGTCACTAGAAAGAAAAAAAAAGGGGGGGGGATGTATATCCTGATTTTTATCCCTGAGAAGATAGATGTATAATAGCCATTGCTAGGACTTTCACTTCTAATCTGAAGTTCAGAGAGTTCCCTCCTCTACCGGTTATTTCCTTTGTTATATTATATCTAGATATGAAAGAAACAGTACCAACTCTAGGCCTCAGAACTAACAGAGAAGCGGAAAAGGGTTGGAGAAATGGTTGAAAATGTTTAATGGTACAGTAATCGTGAAAATAACTCTAGTAGGAACTAGAATTACTGGCCTTTTACTGTGTGATACGCATCGTTATAAGTGCTTTATATTTAATTGTCACAACAACACTAGAAGATACAGGGTGCTATTATGTGTTACCATAATTAACAAAAAATAAGCTAAAGCAGATGATATTGGGTCATACAATACCGTTTGGCCTTAGGCTATTATTTTGTATTGATCACTAGTTGGTTTCTGCTAGTTGTTTGAAGGAGAGTTCTAAAATGGTATAACTCCAATGATGTAAAATTCAAGCAAGGTAAGATATTTCCAGACATTTCTAGTATTAAAAATATAAGTCATTATTTGGCCCAGTTGCAGTGGTACATGCTGCTAAGACACTGTGCTCCAAAAGGCTGAAACCACATGGGAGGCCTCGGTTCTACTCCTGGTCCAACCTAAAAGCTGGGCACAGGCGTGTTCCTGTAATCCCAGCCACTCTGGGAGGCTGAGGCAGGATATGCAACCATGACAGCAAGGCCCCATCTTTAAAAAAAGAGAAAAAGACCATTATGACGGTTACTTCCATGATTTTGTCTGAAGCCTTTCTAAGGTACATGGCTGAAGAACCATGCCTTTCAAGTTTTAGATGGTTGTCTTGGTTGTTAGATTCCGATAGCCCATTTTCCTGTAGCATGATTCTAGGGCAGGAGCAGAAGCTTCCAAAGATTTGTCAACCTCTCTTCTCTGACTGCTTCCCCATTCTGGACATGCTGTGGGAATGAAGGCTGAGGCCAGAAGTCTGGAATGGGTCTCTGATAATGTTAAAGTCCTGCACAGAAAAACAGGATGTCCTTGGTGGCATAGGTAGTGCATTCATATTTTCAACTGGTTTATAAAGGTTTTGGTCCATGGTTGAGAAAAGACTAGGAGAAAAACATTTGGCAATTAAGACAGAATTTTTAAAAATGGTTCTGGATTGGGGTCACGTCATGGGAAACCAGAACATGGGCTGGCATGGGAGATAGGTGTTAATGCCACGAACAAGAGCCAGAAAGTCAAATTTTGAGGGACAGTGGTACATAAAATTCCCCAAGAAAACCATAAAAACATAATATATGTGACATAAAAAAAGAAGAAAAGTAGTTGGATATACAGCTATTAATTCTCAAGAGAAGAACAGGAAAGTAGACCAAGGATAATACTTGTGGCTCCAGAAAGGTCTTTACACTGATGTGTATGGAATGTTGTTTTAAAAAGTGATTTTGAATTTAACAGCAAGAAAGTAAATGTAATATCAGAGACCGTACCAAGAATTTGTAGAATGACACATCACTCTTGAAATGACAATAAACCATGCCCAAAGGAAATAGGTCCAATAGAAGAAACGGGAGCATGTTGATCTGTTGAGGGAGTTGTGCTCTGAATTCTGAAGTTGTGCATGTTGGAAGTCTTTGAATCGTAGGGGCAGATTTAAGGTAGAGGGCGAGAATTGGAGGTAGGTTGTGGGACTGCACCACAGGCCTCTTAACTTCTAAGATGAAAAGATGTCTTCCTCATAAAAGTGACCAAAATCCCTCAGAAGAAAAGCTGTGACTAAGATGAAGTTTTTGCCAGAAGTTTCCTTTTGCTTAAAACTGATCATCTGATATGTTCTTGATGTGATATTTGACAATTTAATTTCTTAAAAACGATAAAAAGAGCAAAGAACTATTATCCTGGGATCTAATTCCGTCCTTTGCTATTTACAGACATGGAAGTGATAGGACCTTCTGGTCTTATTATCTTATCATCTATAATATAGTCAAAATATGTCATGACTCTAGGAAAGCAGATTTCAAGACATCAGAGGAAAGATGGATATGATGTCTCAGCCAGAGAATCTTTATGCTGTAGAGACTAACATAGGGTGAGGACAAAAACAGAAATGGTATCTGTGAGAAGTGAAGGGAGAAGTCACCACGGTGATGCACAGGTTGCTCTAGAAGAATCCAGACTTAAAGGACATGGACAAAAGAGGGAAAAAAGACTCTAGCCAGGGACAACTTCTACAAGGAGCACAACCTCATCTTGACTAAGTAACAATAAAGTTCCAAGTTGATGAGTTGAGGTTTCTAGAAATTTCTGGGTACAATTGAAAAGGCAAGAACAGGACTCACCTACTCTCTGAAGCGAAAAGTGTATGCAGCTTTGGACAAAGACTTAAAAGATTGCCCCCCCCTTATTATTTCTATAAAGCAGAATGACTCACAAGTTGGAAAAGTTTAGAATCAAGAGTAATAAAGGAGAAGCTATTGCAAGGGAGTTTATTGCCTGTATTAGGAGTGCCTTCAGGAAGATTGGCAAGTACACATCCTGATCTCTAGTTTCCCCATTTTTATTAGGGAGGGATCATAGTGTCTTAAATATGGAGAGCCTTCAAAAGCTTCATGAAAACAGATACAAAAAACTATGTGTGGATTTCAAAATTTTTGCACCAAAATAAGTTCATACTATAATTCCATTTTTTCATGAACCTTTGAAGTCCTTACTTACGTACGTGTTTTTCTATTTATAAACTCATACGTCTCATTTTCTACTTTGTACTTAAATATTCTAATTATTAGGAATATTCCTTAAGCTTTTTGTTGTTGTTTTGTTTTTGCTATAGGGTGTATGCACTCACTGGGGTGGGGTGGGGGGGGCGGAGAAAAAGGAAAAGTGAGAAGTAACCTCCCGGGGAGATGGTCACACTGCAATCCCTTCTCCTTCATCTTCCTCTCAGGATTTTGGGCATGCACACACATGTGCCAGCATGTTTTTCAAGCCACTGGATCTGGGACTCAAGCTGCTTAGTTGGCCATGTGGGATCCAGTGGCTGATCCCATTCCTTAAACTCTTTAAAGACAATAAATGAGTGTGAGTTCATCAAGATGTTATTAACTAGATTACAAGCAAAACATTAGACCAAACTTTGCAAAGAACTTAACAACCTATTTACTTTTAGACTTCAGAAACAATCTGTTGGCCAAGAAAATCATCAATATCGGCAGGGAAAGAAAAATGTGAGCCACGATATTGCTAACATGAAGTGTGGCCTATCAAAGTCTAAATGCCATTTAAACACAAAGATCATGTATGAGGGGCAGTCTTCACAAATTCATGGAGAAATGTGCATTATGAAAAACTATGCATAGATTAAAAAATTTTTACACCAAAGTAAACTTGTATTTTAATTTTTTTTCATGAACTTTTTGAAGTACCATTGTCTAGCAGAAGAAATAAAGTACAGCAGTAAGAAAATAATCTTTATGTTGATTTCAGAGTATTTTTAAAACATTTTGTTTATTTATTTATTTTTGGAGAGATTTTTGCTATAGGGCAAATGCCCTTGCCAGAGAGACAGCGAGCCGCAGAGAGACAGAAAGTGAGAAATCACCCCTCAGGGGAAATGGCCACGCTGCAATCCCTTCTCCTCTATTCTCCTCTCAGGATCTTGGGTACGCATGCACACACGCCTCGCATGAGTTTGAAGCCACCAGGTCCAGGACTTGAACTGCGGTCAGTCATGTGGTAGTCCAGTGACATAACCTTTCTGCTGGTCCCCATTTCAGAGTATTGTAGATAAAATTAATTTATCTAACATTTATTGTGCCCCTACTATATTGCCAGGGATATGAAGATGAATTAAACAGAGTCCTTGCCCTCAAGTGACCTGTTGTCAAAGATATGAAAATATGAACTTGCCATCTATAGTCCACTTCCCAGCAAGGGACATTGAGGTCGGGGAACTACTGCCCCCCAGCCCACACCAGGCTCCTAAGACTAGGACCTCACCTTCTTTAAAGACCAGACAGGTCCTTGCCCTGCAGTTCTCCCATTCCATCTATAACCCACTTCCCAGCAAGGGACATTAAGGCTGGGGCACGACTGTCCCCTAGCCCACACCAGGCTCCCAAGACTAGGACCTCACCTTCTTTAAAGGTAGGCAGGGCCTCATTTTTTCAATTTTTTTCTTCTTTGCTATTTCTTTTTGATTTGCTAATTCTCTCCTCCCCCTTGTCCCACAGACCAGACAGGTCCTTGCCCTGCAGGAGTTCTCCCATTCCATCTATAGCCCACTGGCAGCACATGACTTTTTCTTTAATCGCCTCTGTACTCTTTTCTTTCCTCTTACATTATCCTCTCTTCTTCATCCTCCACTCTTCCTGAGGGATTTTACAGATCTCGAATCCCAGTTCTGAACTTCCATAGTATATTGGAAGGTTCCTGGGATCCTTGTCAATACTGAACCATCTGTGATTATCTACAATAGAGTACCCCTCTTGAGACCACATTACTCAAAACATCAGGAGAGGTACTTCTGAACACATCAATTCACAGAAAAGGGATGCAGGCTTGCTCCTAGCCGAAGAAACTTTCTCCTAAGAGATATTCAAAAGTGAATACATCATCTAATGGCCAGAAGTAGGAGAAGAGCCTCAGATCTGAACAAGTCAGGAAATATGTCTCCATCAAAGGAACAGAGTAACTCCCCTCCATCTCTCTTAAAATCTGAGGATGTCACCAAAATGTCAGAGAAAGAATTTAGAACCTACATGATGAACAAATTCTATGAGTTGGAACAGAAAAGAGACAACAAACTTCAGGAGATTAAGAAGTTCTTCCATGATATGAAAGAAGAAATGGACACTCTGAGAAAGAATCAGATGGAGCTATTAGAGATGAAGTCTGAATTACAGGAAATCAAAACTCTCTTGAAAGTATTAAAAGTTGATTAGACCATGCAGAAGATCAAATCTC